CACTTTTAAATGGCCGATTTACCTCCAAATCCTTCCGATTATTTAGACTTGCCCTCTAGAGATACCCTGCTTGGAAAATTTCATTCTCTGGGTAGTAGAACTCTTGTTTCTTTAGGAAAAAAGTAACATCGTCTTTCATTTTTTGACAATAATATCAAGAGAGATAAATTCTTGTTCCTACCTTCATAATATGGTGATCTGGTGGCTTGTTGCTATTCTATACCATTGAGTCAGAATCACCTCTAATGGCTTGTTGCTGTTGTGTGCCTTCAAGTCAAAACCAACTCATAGCTGACCTTCCAGCAGATTTGCAGATGCAGTTAATCACATGGGAGGAGATTGCCCACCTTTCTCCTGTGGAACCACTTGCCTTTGAAATTGCAGCACAACTTCTTACCACTAGGCATGAGTAGTACTAAAGAATTGTGCTGCCAACAAAAAGTTGCACTGTTCAAATCTACCAGATGCTCCACAGGAGAAACATGGGTAATCTCCTCCCGTGCAATTTTTTTGCCTCTGAAAACAGTCCAAAGGGCCAGCTATGAGACAGTTCTGGCTAGATGGTACACACCACCACCACCACCACCACCTTCATAACTGCAAAATGAAAAGTTAAGTTCCTTCGTAGAAGAATCAAACAACCATTGCCACATTCCAGAAACAGAACAACAGAGGGAAAGATGAAGGCTAACCCAAGAGAGATGTGTAAGGCCTTCACTCCTCTCAAAGAAACTTCTCTAGGACTTTTATTCTCTAATATCTAGGAGGTACATGATTACCATAAGCCTTGGTCGGTGATATTAACAAATGAGTTTTTATTGACTGAATTGTTTCAGTTTCAATTATTCTTCTACCTTTTCACTAATATACAAATCAAGCTCATCAAAATTGTCTTTAATCCTAGCTCAGAAATCATGTGTATATGTGCTTCTTCTTTAGTCTCCAATCTGAATGCATGTCTACTTTGTATTGAAAGCAATATAGCATTTGTCACTTTCAGAGAGCTGTCAAGATCATTATCAATTTCATGAGGAAGATTATTCATGTTCACATTTTTTGTCTTCCCACAACTATGCTTTTATTTAATAGACTTGAATTTACCCACAGATTAGAAATTTAGTATGTTGTTGTTGTTGTTATGTGCCATCGAGTCATTTGCGACTCATAGTGACCCTATGAACAACAGCCCTAAACCCTGCTCTATCCTGTACCAATCTCATTGCCTCTGACACACCCATCCCGACTACCCCAGTCATTGAATCAATCCACCTTAGAGAGGGTCTTCCCCTCCTGCGCTGTCCCTCTACTCTACCCAGCATGATGTTCCTCTCTAAAGATCTGTCTCTCCTTATAACATGTCCAAAGTATGTCAGACGAAGCCCCAGAATCCTTGTCTCCAAGGAGCAGTCTGGTTTAACCCTCTCTAGGATGAATCTGTTTGTTTTCCTGGCAGTCCATGGTACATTCAATACTTTTCTCCAGCACCACAGCTCAAAGGCATCAATTCTCCTTCTATCCTCCCTAGTCATTTTCCAGCTCTCTGATGCATAAAAAGTGATTGCAAAAACCATGGCCTGTATCAGGCACACCTTAGTCTCCAGAGAGACACCGTTGCTCTTCAGTACTTTAGAGAGGTCCCTAACAGCAGACTTTCCCATCGCAATATGTTTTTTGATTTCCTGGCTACTGGTGCCAAAAGTGTTGACCATGGAGCCGAGCAAACTGAAGCTGTGAACAATCTCAATCTCTTCACCATCCATCCTGATGCTACCAATTGGTCCAGTGGTGAGAATTTTTGTCTTCTTGACGTTGAGCCTCAGTCCATACTGAAGGCTGCAGTCCTTGACCCTCTGCAGCAAGTGCATGAGGTCCTCCTCAGTTTCAGCAAGCAGGGTTGTGTCATCTGCATAACTCAGATTGTTAATAGATCTTCCACCAATCCTGATGCCACAATTCTCCTCATAGAGCCCAGCCTCTCGAATAATCTGCTCTGCATACAGGTTGAAAAGGTATGGAGATAGGACACATCCCTGGCATACACCCTTCTAAATTTCTCTCTATAAACACAGAAATTTAGTATATTATGGTTAAATTGAATGATACTTTGTGTTTTTATGAATATAAATGAACCACCCTGTAATTCTGCTCCTTCTTGAAACAAACTATTACTAAAGATTTGTGAATACTTTCACTCTTTCCTTATTTTCAATTTTCTCTTGAACCTATTCCCAAAAAACCTTTGTTCCCATCACTTGACAAAGTGAGGGCTTGTCAAAGATCACAGAGATTATTGGCCTGGTGTTAGCAAATCAAGTGACCACTTCCTGGGCCTTATCTGTCAACATTTGACCCTCTTTTTTTTAATTTTTTTTTTTTAAATTTAGGTTGTTTATTTTTCATTTCAATGAACATCTACAGAGATTGTATTATTTTTATGTGTACCGTCAAATCAGATCTGACTGGTACAGGAGGAAATTGCCCCCTCCTTCTCCAGCAGAGCATCTGGTGGATTTTCATTTGACCCTCTTGATACCTTGTTCCCTAAGACTGGCCTGTCTTTTCTCATTTTTTGTTTTCTTTTTTTTTTTCTTTTCCACTGACCTCTGAATGATAGTGTACCCTATGAAACTGCCATTTAAATTCTTCTGTAATATATTCACTCTTAGAGTGATCTCAACTTGTGCCCTTTTCCTACCTGCCATCAGTCTGATATTAGAGCCTCTCTGGCCTCTTCCTTGAGCTCCAAATTGGTACTTCAGCTGCTTCACCTACACTTGAATATCCAACAGGCAAACCACTGCTGTTCCAGCCACCCATATCTAAATTCAACTGTCTATTCCAATTAATTGACCCAAAGCTTTAGAATCTGCTCTGATTTTATCATTTCCCATTAACTTTTCATTCCACCAGCATGTCTATCATTCTTACCTTCCAAACTTTATTTTATCATTATTCTTTTTCATCTATTACATTCCTTACACTCTCACCTGGTAAATAATACAGACTTCAATCTGGCCCAACTATTTCCATTCTCTCTCTTTCAGCCCACCTTCACATAGCAAATAGAAAGTTTAAAATATAAGTAGAATCATGTGACTATAACTTGTTCACTCCTTTTAAAGCTTTCTCAGTAAACTTAAGAAATTTCTGTATTTTAGTGTATTTGTGTCATTTCTTTACAAATCTATTTTAATGTTCTTTAAGATAAGAGGCAATGACATGACTCATTTGAATCCTGCTAATAGGATTCTTGAATCAATGATGTGAATCAGGTGTACCTTAGTCCTCAAACTGACATCATTGCTCCTCAATAATTTGGAGAAGTCCCTGACTACAGACTTTCCCAATGCAATATGTCTCCTAATCTCCTACAGCTGGTACCAAGGGTATTGCAGATTGTCAGACACTGTAAATCACAAGGGAGGAGATTGCCCATCTTCCTCCCATAGAGTGGCTGATGGGCATGAACTGCCTGCCTTTGACATCATATTGAATTCCAGCAAAGGGATCTTCTTCTCACTCACTTTCTATCAGTCTTTTCCATTTTATCTCCTAAGTGAGGTATTCACGTCTCATCACCTTTGTTTTTCATGGCAGAGGTCACTGCTCTCTTTTAGACTACACAGTCATTGTCTATTCTATTTAGTGTTTTCATATAGACAGAATAACTTCTGAAAAATGTCATACATAGTAGCCTCTTTCATTTTTCAGGCCAGTGATTATTTCATTACCATAACCAGGCATATCATTTCATTTTCCACTGTTGTAATTTCATGTTAATTTCTGCAGTGTTTTGATTAAAATCATTTGCCTGTGAGATGTTGAAGTTTTTTAAGCCTTTCCCCCCACCCCCTTTGCCTTATCACATAGTAGGTGCTCATTACTTTTCAATTTAATGCCCAAATCCTTTTTTTGGTCCCCAGGCTGCCCATACAGGAGCTAGTAAAAGCAGACACATCATACACACACAATCTTCGCATTTGCTTTGTTGTCATAGCAACATGGATTCTTGCATACTGTTTAAAAATACTTGGTAGGTAAATAGGGTTAACTTTGAATGAGGTTAACTTTATGGGAGTTTAGGTTCCAAGGTCATAGGAGCTGAAGGACATACAAAACAAAAGTGACAGTATGAACAAATTTCAGAGAGGCTAGATAAGACACAGGGCGATGTTCTTTTATTGAAGTGCGAAAGGTTTGCAGATTCACAAACCAGTATTTGGGAAGAGATCAATAATTTCACAAGGAAGACATTTGTGAAAGAACAGAATCCAGAAAATGTTTAATCTTTAAAGGTATCACAGAGGCAGCTGAGATTCCAGAGCTAGGAACCACGGAAAGCAAGTTGGAAGATTGAAGTCTATTATTCTATTCTTGCTGTGTTATTTTAGGATGTCTGTTCCTCTTGTTTTAACTACTTTTGTCCTTATCCTTTTTTCCTCTTTGGCATCTTTCAACCAGGTATTCTGCTCACACAGAGTTTCAAATTGACTTTCTCTTCTTCCTCAGTTGATGTAAGGGCAGCTTCATCTGCTTCAGCCTCCTGGACCGGGAATGCAGTTAAATGCATGGTGCTTCTACGTAGTTGCAGGATTTCTTGATAAAAGCTTCCAAGCTTCATCTTCTGAGGATTTAGACAAAATTTCTTTTATGACTGTGTTTTCACTCCCATAGTTCCAGCTGCTTCTTTTGCTTTGGTGGGAAATTCTCCTCAAAAGTCTGATGCTTCGACCAGGATAAGAGTGGAAAGATTGGAGAACAGACAAAGGTCAGACACACTGATGCTCTCAGGAACTCAGAGTTAACTGGTCTTTTGTATCCTGGTAAAAATCTCCAAGCAGATTCTTTTGTATTACACTAGCCAGGGACTCTTGAGAAAACACCAAATACAAAGTTAGTTACTAATGAATGTCTGATAACTCAAATAGGTACAAGTAGGAATCCATGAGGGGAAATAAGGAACATCTTATCCTGTGTACTTGATGTAACAGTCCATCAACTCAGAAGTTATTGAATGTCTGTTCCTTAGCCCAGTTCTGAACATCTGCTTTGCCGAAGATGAGGTAGAAGACCAGGCCCAACATGTTAACAGCAGCTGAAAGCAAGAAGGTATTTCTCCAACCCAACTCTTTATACTGAAAGCAAGAAATTACAAGTTAGTAGAAATCAACTATCTTGATCAGCATGGCTCCTAAAGACCTCCCCACTCCTATGCTGCTTTTGCCTTTATGGGCTTCCAATTTGTTCTTAGATAAGCCAGGCACATGTCTATCTTAAGATCATTACCCAGGATACATATTTCCTCTTCTAAAACACTCTTCATGTAGACCTCCATTACCTCCAATATTTCACTTCCTTCATGTCCTTGTGTAAATGTTACCTTTTCAGTAAGTGTTCTTTGACCACTCTACTTAATTTGCTTCTAATGTGTTCTTCTTCTAGATTCTATTCTTCTCTTGGAGATTATCACTACCCAAATGCACCATAATGTACTAGTTGCTTTGTTTTCTGTCGATTTCTTTCCTAGAATATAGATCATATCTGGGCAAGAACTTTTATTTTATTTCCTTAGCTAGAATGTACTTGGTCCATACTAAAATTTAATACATATTTATTAAATGAGTGACTAGAAGTTGACTGAATGAATTCTGAGAAAAATAAAGTTAATTTCAGAATTTCTATTTTAAGAAACTCTTTCCTAACAGTATATTAGTGGCTAGAATAGATTTGAAGTTTCGGGGCAGGGGGGGGGGGCAAGAAAGGACCTGACTTCATAAAGATGGCTCTTTCTTTCTTATTCTTCATTAATTTACCAACTCAGAAGTAACAATATACAGGGAAAAACCTTAAAGAGGATGTTCATAGGAATACCATAAGCCTCTTTCTTCATGTAAAATCTGGATGAAATTCTTTAGAAAAGGTTCAAGCTAGCAGGTGAATTTGTTTAGTATGCAATTCTAAGTACAATTTTAAAATACCTTTGTGGTGCAAACTGTTAATATTCTTGACTGGTAACCAAAAAGTTGCCAGTATGAGTTAATTCAAATGCACCTGGAATAAAAACCTGGTGATCTATTTCCAAAAACTCATCCCCAAAAAATTCTGTGGAACCATTTTATTTTGTCACACAGGGATCAGAAAGAGTTGAAATTGCTCAAATATAATAGGTTTGTTTAGTTTAGCTTAAAGGCAGCTTCTATCATGGAATTCTCTACAAATGTAAAAAGACAAGCAAGCCATGTTAATAAAAGGGTTTTCTGTGTTAGCTACTCATGGACTTAACCCTGAGGTGCAGGTTATTGCTTCATTGTCACTATCTCATTCATTCATTCTGTCAACATTAGTTGGAAACATACATAGGTGACCAAATTGTCCTGTTATGCCTTGAATTTTCAAGGTCGTAGTACTAATGGTCTCACATGTCAGGAAATCTCTTAGTTCTTATAAGAACTCAGAAAATATAAATTTATAGCACTCTTTCTCTACAACCAGATAATATGCAAATTTCCCTCCAAGACCATAGCCTAGGATGAGATTGAGAGCATTTGGGGTTCTTGGAACACTTTAGTTTCAAATATAGTTATATCGATGAGATAATAAAAGCACCCTTAATATAATTTCTCATGACCTCTACAGGTCTTGGGTATATGTTTTCATTTTCTTTATAAATATATTCATCATCACTTATGACCTCACCTGACTGAGGAAAACTCCAGCAACAGTGGGAGAGATGGCTCCAGCTATGTGTGCAAAGACTTGTGATAGTCCCTTGAGAAAGCCTGCATATCTGTGAGAAATATAATTAGAAAATGTTCCTCTGTGAGCAAAGAGTTCATTTCAGGTGGTCTAAGAATGCCTGGACTTTTGATGACTCTGGGGGAAAAAACCAGAATGAAATGAACTAACCCATTACTGTCCAGTTGATTCTGATTCCTAATGACCCTACAGGACAAAGAACAACAGCCTCATGCTGTAATTTTTGTGGAAAGAAAAGTTGTTGTTATAGTGTGTAACATATAGGAATGCTAACCTAAAGATCCATAGTTCAAATCCACCAGCTGCTACACAGGGGAAAGAGGGACACTTTCTTTTCATAAAGATTTGCAGCCTTGGAAACTTAATGGAGGAAACCAACTTGACAACAATGGAGTGCAGAATCTTTATGGTCCCATCTTTCTCCCATAAAGCATATTGTTGTTGTTATTATTGATTGCTATCAAGTTGGGCATGACTCATAGCTACTCTAGGAACAAAAGACCTGGACCCTGTTTTATAACTATCATCCTTTCTTTAAATTCATAGAGTTTCCAAAGGCATGTTGTTTAGGAGGTGGAAGTCACTCCTGCTTCCAAAACTGTCTTAGTCTGGGAGCTCCACTAAGCACTGTCCACCACTGGTAACCATTATGGCATTTGACACACCAGTTGAAAACACCAATATTTTGGTTAACAATGGAGCGCTTAACTACTGATACACCAGGGCTCCTGAAATGAACTGAGTAATTTTGAATGCAATCCTGGGATAGATCTAAGACTTCTAAGTTTATACTGAGGTCTTATGAACATTGTTAATAGGAAATGTGCAGACCAATGATTTGTACCTAGTTTGTATATTCTCTTGGTTTCTATTACTAAGCCTAATCTTGAAGCCTTGTTTGGGGTACAAAAGGCCCCATTGGTAAAACAATAGCTGCCCTGAGACAAAGATTGCTCCCAGCTATCTCAGCAATTCTCTATCTGAAGATGAAATATGTTCTATGTGTCTGTAAATGAGTTTTGGAACCACACATACAAATTTGATCATTTCTGATAATTGTCTATACTTTCTTCTCCAGTTTGTACCATATTCATTATTGAGTTAAAACTATAAGGGAAACATTGTGGAGTCTCCTGTGTCCCTTCATTTACCTATCTTTGTGTAACTGCTACATTCTTAACAGAGAGATGGATGTTTCTCTTGTCAAAATTTAGCTGTGTTTCACAGCAAGTGTAGGACAGCCTGAACTTGAATGAGTGTCTGTGAGGATGAGATAAAGGGATCCCTACCGAGGAGCAATATCCAAGATGTTCACAAGGGCTCCTGAGTCACAGAGGCTGCTGAGGCCTGGAGAGAGCACTAAAAAGGCCACAGTGGTGCTGGCACTGGATCTGACCCAATACAGACACACCATGAGCAGGCATGGGAAGAGAACGCCTAGAGGAAAGAGACACAGAGTGAAGAGGTGGCTTCTCTAAGTTTTCTATGTACATCACTGTGCCTAACTCTCTCCTTACCTATGGCAGTGAAGAGTTTTCTTATGGTGATGAGTTTGAAAATGTTTCTGGAAAGGAGAAAATCTGCCAGTAGACCTCCAAGAATAATGCAGATGAAACCAGATATAAATGGCAGGGCAGATAGGATCCCACTCTGAAAACCAGAGATGAAGTGAGATACAGGCCTTCATTCCTACTTTCCATGACCCAGAATGATGTCTGGACCTATTTGTCACATCAATGACCTTTCTCTATATCATCATTTTTTTTCATGCAAATGCACTGTTATTGTATTGAGTCCACATATTTTTTTGAGTCCACATATTTTTAGTTCCTGGAGGAATATATGCATAAAACTCCACTTGCAGAAAGTGACAAGTGTACTTTTTTTATGTATAGATTTCACCTAAACATAGATACAAAGATGATCAGACAAATTCTAGACCAAAAAAAAGTTGATAAATGATGACATTTCCTTAATATATTTACAGAACTAAAATGCTAAATTAAACTATATTGAGATAACATTTTCATGGAACAGATTGCAAAATTCCAAATTTTTACATATTTTGTGGTGTTACGCAAAGGCAATGGATCCTCCCAATAGTTCTTGAGGCTTTTGGAAACCGAGCAAGGTAACACTGCATGGTTCAAAATTGGGAAGGGTGTACGCCAGGGATGCATCCTGTCTCCATACCTTTGCAACATGTATGCAGAGCAGATTATTCGAGAGGCTGGGCTCTATGAGGAGAATTGTGGCATCAGGATTGGTGGAAGATCTATTAACAATCTGCATTATGCAGATGACACAACCCTGCTTGCTGAAACTGAGAAGGACCTCATGCACTTGCTGCAAAGGGTCAAGGACTACAGCCTTCAGTATGGACTAAGGCTCAATGTCAAGAAGACAAAGATTCTCACCACTGGACCAATCGGTAGCATCAGGATGGAGGGCGAAGAGATTGAGATTGTTCACAGCTTCAGTTTGCTCGGCTCCACAGTCAACACTCTTGGCACCAGCAGTTAGGAAATCAAAAACCTTATCACGATGGGAAAGTCTGCTGTTAGGGACCTCTCTAAAGTACTCAAGAGCAACAGTGTCTCTCTGGAGACTAAGGTGCGCTTGATACAGGCCATGGTCTTTGCAATCGCTTGTTATGCCTCAGAGAGTTGGACAATGACTAGAGAGGACAGAAGGAGAGTTGATGCCTTTGAGCTGTGGTGCTGGAGAAGAGTACTGAATGTACCATGGACTGCCAGGAAAACAAGCAGATTCATCTTGGAGAGGATTAAACCAAGCTACTCCTTGGAGGCAAGGATTCTGGGGCTTCATCTGACATACTTTGGACATGTTGCCAGGAGGGATGGGTCCTTGGAGAGGGACATCACGCTTGGGAGGGTGGAGGGACAGCGCAGGAGGGGAAGACCCTCTATGAGATGGATTGATTCGGTGACTGGGGTAATCGGGATGGGTGTGTCAGAGGCAGTGCAGTTGGCGCAGGATAGAGCAGGGTTTAGGGCTGTTGTGCATAGGGTCGCTATGAGTCTCAAACGACTCGACGGCACATAACAACAACAACCTGCAAAAAGGTACGTGGAAGTTCTAACTCCTATAAATAAAAGCCTGTTTGGAAATGTTTCACTTTTGTTAATGATAGGCCCTACATCTAGTACCTTTTGAGTGATGTTTTAGAAAATGGAAGCACAAACATGAGAAAAACACAGGAAGGGAAGCTGAGGACATGCAGCAGAATTAACTCCAAGCAATGAAAGAATAGAATACAGGGCTATAGAAGAAAGTAAAAGAACCGCCCCTGGACCCATTGCCTTGATTTAGATTTCCAGTCTCCACAACTGTGAAACAATAAATTATGTTCTGTAAAACCACATGTTCACAGTATTTCTGTATGTAAGGATCCCTTTACAGTGTTTCTGTATGGGTAAGTAGAGGCACAGAGCAATATGACCATTTTTTATAAAAACACAAATGTGCACTCATACACAGCAGACTCATCAATTCGCTATGTGGAATTTTACAGGACTTTCCACAACAATTTCACAAAATCAATCTATGTAAAAATAACAATTTCTACTCATATAAACATCAACACATCAATTTTCTATTGGGAAATTTATAGAAATTTCCAGAGTTTCACAATGGCATAATGACAAACAAGATTTTTCTGGCAAGAAAAGTGCCTGTAATAATAAAAAGAACACAAATATGCTCAAGCACTGGTATTAAAGTTATTCAAGGTATCTTAAAGTAGGAAGAAAAACTAATATCTAAGATAAAACAGAATACAGTTTTATGTAAAATCTACTGAAAAAGAAAAGTGTGCATTCATGTATGCTAATATTTCAATGTAAGAATCTAAAGAAATTAGTAGAAAATAATTGTAAATGAACTGGACATGGAAATTAGGACAGAATGAAAACAGAGTGGTAAGAAATTGCACTACAATCCTGAAAGCATGTGGTTAGAATGCACCAGCTGCTTCGCAGGAGAAGGACAGGCAATCTTCTTGTGTGTAATTAACTGCCTCTGAAAAACCAACTGGAGGGTCAGCTATGAGTCAGTTCAGATTCAAACTGACCTATTCAACAACAACAACATACTTTTTTTATATCGTTTTTGAAATGGAGGGCTCTGTTAATTGATTAGCAACTCACTCTCTAAAGGAAAATTCCATTGAAGAAGATACAAGTTGTTTATCTTAGTCTCAAGGAAAATTCATCTTCTGTTGAGTAGAATTTAAACTAATAGGAAGGGTTTCACTGTATCATCTGCTTTGAGTTTGTTTTTCCATTCATTCACCAGTCTCATTCTATGTCTTGTTCTTCAGCATAGATATTTCAAACCTCATGTTGTTGTTATTCTGTGCCATCAAGTCGGAACTGACTCATTGCTGACCCTCCAGCAGGTTTTCAGAGGCAGTAAATTGCATAGGAGAAGATTACCCATCTTTCTCCAGAGGAGCAGCTGGTGAGTATAAGCTGAGTATTTTGGGGTTGTTATTTGGGTTGTTAAGTGCCATATAATCAGAACCAACTCATAGCTGACCTCCCAACAGGTTTTCAGCAGCAGTAAATTAGTAAATTGCATGGGAGGATATTACCCATCCTTCTCCATCAAGACAGCTGAATCATGTGCCTTTATGATTACATTGCAGCTTCTTACCACTGGCCACCAATATCATGACGGATGGCGGAAATATTGAGGCTATTAACTATTTCATCTTGTTCAGATCCACAGTCAACACTGTTAGCACCAGAAGTCAGAAAATCAAAAGATGAGTTGCATTGAAAAATCTTTTGTCAAGGACCTCTCCAGAGTGCTAAAAGACAACAATGTCAGTCTAGAGACTAAGAGGTGCCTGATACAGGCCATGGTCTTCTTACTTGCTTGCTATGCATCTGAGAGCTGAACAACGAATAAGGATGACAAAGATGCCTTTGAGTTGTGATGTTAGAGAAGAGTATTGAATCATGGATTGTCCATAAATAGAACAAACAGGTCTGTTCTGGAGAGGGCAAAACCAGTTAGTTCTCTAGAGGCAAGAATTTAGAAGCTTCAGCTCACATACTTTGGACATGGTAGCATGAGGGATCAGTCCTTGGAGAAGGATAACATGCTTGGAAGCATAGACAGCCAATGAAGAACAAAAACCTTAAAGAGATGGATTGACACAGTGATTGTGGCAATGGGGTCAGGTATGTCAGAAATAGTGAGTTTGGCTCAAGATAGGGCAAAATCCAGAGCCATTTTTTATAGAGTCACTATGAGTCAACTTGATGACACATAACAATAATAGCACCTTTGAGTTGGCAGCGCAGTTCCTTACCACTAAGCCAAAAAGCTCCCTCCAGGCTTCATACCAAAGATAAATCATTTCCAACAGTCAGCCTTGTGAGAGCTTTTTCTCTCATCTAACTTCTGCCATCTCTGGACCTCTTGTACTCCAATTCTCTTGCTTGAGGTTTCAGGTTTCATTGCTTGTTTCAGCCCTTCTTCCTCTTCTTCAGCCCTCCTTTGTTGGACTTCTGACCTCATAATCTATAGCCTGCTTGCATTTTGAGTCAGCCTGTTTTTGAACTCTGACCACTAAGAGGTCAGCTTCTTGTAGACCACTTAGCACCTTTCCTTTGAGAAGCTCCATTTAACTAAAGTAAACTGCTTTTGGAACACGAAGGATAAAAATGTGATAGTAATTTAATAATCTTGTGATTTTTCACTGATAGCCCAAGGAATCCCAATATAACCGTAAACACTTGGAAGATAGCATAGGATTGCCCAATGTTTCATTCTTCTATACGTAAGTCTTCTATACTATGAGTTAGAGCTTAGTCAATTCCAAACTACCAATTAAATCAGAGTACATTCATTTTGTAAGATTTAGGAAAGCTGTATATATGTACACAATTTTTCTTTATACATATGCATTACACATAAATACACTATTATTTAAAATTATCTACCAATTTAAGCATAATTCTTAAGTGAGAGTTTATGTTCTGTTTATGAAGTCTTATTTTCAGTATTTTTTTGTTGTTGTGTACTATGTAGAGTCAGAATTGACCCACAGCTGACCCTTTGGCAGGTTTTCAGTTAATCGCACAGGAACAGATTGCCCATCTTTCTCCCAAAGAGCAGCTGGTGACCTCAAACTACATGCCTTCAGAATTGCAGCGCAACTTCTTGCCACTAAGCCACCAAAGATGAGTATATCTTGTTTAAAATTCCCTGTCACAGTCAGCTCTAAAACATTGTTTTATTAAACACTTAACTGCTTATGCTACTCACACAGTGCCCTGTTTAGCAAATATTGAAAGACTGAATACAAAATATTTACAAAGGGCTTCTAAAAATATGACACTCCATCAATATCAAGAGGATTGATAAGCATATCAACCTGTTTCAATAATCATCAAGGCATTGAAATCAACCTCAATTAAAGTTAAACCATTGCATTGCCTACTTGAGAGTAACTGAAATAAATCTTTTGATTTTGTGATCTAAGAAAGAAAAAGCAATATAAAATTAACCATTCAAGTAGAAGACTACAAGGATCCATTTCCGTACTTACATCTCTGAGGTTAGCTTCAAGTACAGAATTGATGTATGTTGGTGTATATGACATCATGACATAAAAAGGCCAGTAATGACAGAAATAAAAGACTAAAATGGCCCAAAGTGGTAGACATTTGATCATAGCCTTAATGGGAAGAGACCACCCTGGAGAAGAATCCTGGAAGAAAACACACATCAATATCCACTCCATCAAACACAATTCTTTCCACTGCATTTTTCACATCAAAGACATCCAGACAGACATAGTGAGAAATCACGAAGATAAGGGTGGGTAACCCTCAATGTACCTGCTGGGCCAGTGAACACAGGATGTATTCCTTCTCACCAGTGCTGATAAAGGGATGATTCACGGGGTCATCATAAACAAGAGGAAACCAGAGAAGACTACTTACACAGCCAATTCCACCTAGAAATCAAGGATTCATTGAGCACTGCTTTGGAGTTTTTATATCATTTTTCTCTGCACTGAAAGGACATTTGTGACTGTCAGAATTATTTGTAATAATTCTCTTACTCCCTGTATTTGCGTCTTGGCATAGTTCTGGGCTGGCAGCTTCATGATAGATGGAGAAGAGATTGAGTTTTGTTAACTTTTTCAGCTTGCTCGGCTCCATAATCTGTTGTTTTATCTGTGTTTTCTTGGCACCAGTAGTCAGGAAATCAAAAGACAAATTGCATTGGGGAAGTCTGCTGTCAGGGACCTCTCCAGAGTGCTAAAGAGCAATGATAACAGTCTAGAGACTAAGGTGTGCCTGATTGAGGCCCTGGTCTTTGCAATTACATGCTATGCATCAGAGAGCTGGACAATAACCAAGGATGACAGAAGAAAAATTAATGCCTTTGAGTTGTGGTGCTGCCGAAGAGTCTTGAACATGCCATGGACTGCCAGGAGAACAAAAAGTCTGTCTTGGAGAGGGTAAAACCAAGTTTGTCTTTGGGGGCAAAGATTTTGAAGTTCTGTTTCACATACTTTGGTGACATGGTCAGAAGAGACAGGTCCTTAGAAAAGGGCCTCATGTTCAGAAAGGTGGAGGGACAGTGCAGGAGAGGAAGACCACAGATGGGATGGACTGACACGATATCTGGGGCTATGGGATTAGGTATGTCAGTGTCAGTGAGACTGGCTCAGGATAGAGGAGGGTTCAGAGTTGTTGTACATATGGTTACTATGAGTCATAGGCAACATGACAAAACACACTTGCACTGGGTAGAGGGAGCTCTGGTAGTCTAGTGATAAGGAGCTGTGATGTCAACTGAAAGGCATCTGTTTATATTCACAAGCTGCTCAATTACAGAAAGATAGGCAATCTTTCTGTGCCAATTATGTGTTACTGTTTGTCTTTTGGGGCCTTAACTATTGTCATGGGAAGAATATTCAGTGATGAACAGAATTTTGTGAAACTATGACTAGAAAGAGGAATTTAAACTCTGCAAGTGGGATTAAACATTTCAGACCTGCCTAGAAATGCCACAGAACTGGGAGAACAAGTGACAATTCTTTATATTACGCCGTTTGGGAAGTTTTGAGATGCTTTATTATTAATACTATAACAAAATGCTATCAATTTTTGTTCCACGTCCCATGTTCCATGTCCCATCTGATTAAGGACAAGGCAAAACACCTCTTTCTATTCAGATTTTCACAAAGTTCCCTTCATCATTAAATATTCCCATTGCTTTTTCTTACATTTCTCAAAGCAACTAAGAATTAGTTATTTATTCATAAATATCACTGGTTAGTACACTAATTCAAGTTATTTTCTAAATTTTTATAATATAGGAAGAAACACCTACAAGAATTCATTGATACTCAGAATGTGGACTATATTAAGTATGAATCTAGAAAAAGTGTAGGTTGTAAAAAAGAAACCAAACCCAACCAAACCAATATTAACCCTAAGTCTTTGTCATCTGAGGTGGACCTAGCTGCTCTTCAACCCAGTGGCTTCTGAAGAGGATCTGCAGATATGCTTGGAAATTACTGAGTAGCCAGACTTGAGAACTGACTTGTGGAGAAATCGGCACTTCTCTTACTCTTTATCTAGTCTGGACTAGCCAGTGGGAACATCCCCCTAGGAAGCAGTCCCAGTGTGACTAGGGGCATTAGCTGGCATCCAGAATTGAGATATGTATTGTCCAGAAATTGGTGTTTTCCTGAGTATTTGTCCTCTGGGGAAGAACTAGCTTACCTACAATCTAGCAGCTTCTGAAGAGGAGATGCAGGTCTTCTTGGACATTATAGATAGCCAGAATTGAGAAGTGAATTGCTAAAAAATGAGCATTTTCCTGAGTCTTTGTCTTCTAGGGTAGAAATAGCTGCCCTTATAACCCACCCTGAGAGAAGGGAAAGGAATATACCATGGGCTCCTAGGAGAACAAACAGGTTCATCCTGGAGAGAGTGAAACCAGGCTGTTTCTTGAAGGCGAGGTTTTTGAAGCTCCATCTGACATACTTTGGGCATGTTGCAAAGAGGGACCAGTCCTTGGAGAGGGACATAATGCTTAGGAGGGTAGACAGACAGCATAAGAAAGGAAGACCCTGGACTGACTCAGTGACTATGGTAATGGGGGCAAGTGTGTCAGAGACAGTGAGATTGGTTCAAGGTAGAAAAGGATTCAGATTGTATATAAGGATTGTATAAAAGATTGTATGAAAGGTTTGTTGTATATAAGGTTGCTATGAGTTGTAAGGGACTCGATGGCACATAACAACTACATCAAGAACAGCATATTTGATGAAATTAAAAGGTCATTAAAAGACAAGGGGAAAAGGACCAAAATGTATATCAGTAGAGACTCTGGAAATTTCAAAGGGCAACACAAAAAGAAAGTATTCCAATGAAATGTGCAAACATCTGCAGTTAGAAAACAATATTGATTAACAAGTTCTCAAGAATTAATTGAAGAAAAAAAGTCTAATCAATCAAGCTTTGTGCTGCAATACTGAAGGATTTTATGAGTAAAGCACTGAATGATTCAAGAAGCTACAAAAATATAGAAGGAATACACAAAGTCATTTTACCAAAAAGAATTTGTTATCATTAAGCTACTTCAAAATAAAGCTCCAGAAATTGATAGAATATCACTTAAATGATTTAACAAAGTGATTCAACGCTGGACATGCTCAATTATCTTTTCCAATAAATCTGAAAAACAGAAATTTTACCACCTGACTGGAAGAAATAGGTATCTGTTTCCATTTTTTAAAAAAAGTGATCCAAGAAAATGCAGAAATTATTAATATCACATACAAATACACTTTAAGGATAATTTTAAAGCAATTGCCATAAATATATCCAGTGTCACCAGAGATATCATTGCTGATATCGGATGGATCCTGGCTGAAAGCAGAGAATAACAGAAGAATATCTATTTGTGTTTGTTGGCCATGCAAAGGCATTTAATTGTGTGGATCATAACAAATTAGGGCTAACAGTGAGAAGATTGGAACTTCAAGAACACTTAATTGTGCTCTTATTAAAACTTCACCTAGACCAAGAGGCTTTGTATGAACAGAACAAGAGAACACTACATGGTTTAAAATTAAGAAAGATGTGTATTGGGGTTATATCCTCTCTCCATACCTATTTAATATGAGCAAATGCTGAGCAAATGATTCAAAAGCTGGTCTCTATGAAGAAGAATATGGCAGCAGGATCAAAGGAAGGCTTATTATCAACTTATGTTATGTAGATGACAAAACTATGTTGGCTGAAGGTGAGAACTTGAAGTGCTTGCTGCAGAAGATTTAAGATTACAGCCTTCAATACGGATTGCCTCTCAGTGTCAAGAAAATAAAAATTCTCACCAATGTCAGACAGATAACATCATAATAGAGGAAAAAAAGATTGAAACTATCAACAACTTCACCTTACTTAGATCCACAATCACCAACCTTGGTACCATTAGTCGGGAAATCTGGAAACATATTGCACTAGCAAAGTCTGTAATCTCTCCAAGTTAATGAGGATACACCAGTTTGAAGACTAAGATACACCTGATTCAGACAATTGTCTTTTACATCATTATGCATTGAAGAGCTGAACAATGAATGATGATGATGATAGAATAATTCATGCCTTTAAGCTGTGGAGTAGAAGAAAAATACTGAATCTCTCATGGAGTGACAAAAGAACATATAAATATGTCTTGGAAAAAGTGTAACTAGAGTGCCCCATGGAGACAATTATGACAAAACTTCACCTCACATACTTTGCACATGTTGCTGAGAGAGGCTATTCCTTGGAGAAGGACATCATGCTTGCAAAGGTTGAAAGTTGGCAGAAGAGAGGAAGACTCTTAACTAGGTTGATTGACACAGTGACTGCGGCAATGGCTCAAGCATGTCAGAGATGATGAGGATGGCATAGGCTAGAATGAGATTAAAATCTATTGTTCATCGGGTTTCTGAGTCATATTCAACTTGACAGCACATAACAACATAGGAAATACTGTAAAGAATCAGAATTTCAGAGAGTTTTGTTGTGCTCATGCAGAATGTGTAGACAGGGAAGGTATACACTGAGCAAATAATCTTGGAAATTGGCCTATATGAAGAAGAATGTGAGCTCAGAACTAGAGGATGACTCATTAGAAATATGATATACAGGTGGCAACCTTGATTGCTGAAAGAGAAAAGGAATTGATAGACTTGTTAGTGAAGGTGAAAGACTATATAGCCTTCAGTATGGATTACACTTCAATTCATAGAAAGCAAAAATCCTTTGACTCCTCAACTTTCCATTCTATTTCCTTAATAAGCCCCTTAACTACAAGTAAAGTCTGTAAGTCAACAATGAACTTGGATCCAATGATTGGTAGAGATAGGTGCAGGAGCATGGAGTGGAAGGTGGGGTGGGGGTTGCATTTCTGAACAAGCAGCTGTTTGCCGCGATAGATATTACTGATGGGGAGAGTTTCCCTTTAAATTTGTGAGTTGAAGTCTGACTGGGCCCCTCTCATTTTACCACTGCTCCTTTCACACTACTTTAAATTGTTAGCAAACAAAGCTGTCACCATGAGGATTAACATTAGCTGTTGTATTGTGTTGTGTTGTGTTGTTGTTATGTGCTTGCAACTCATAGTGACCCTATGTACAACAGCCCTAAACTCTGTTTTAACCTGTACCAACCTCACTGTCTCTGACACACCCACTCCCATTGCCCCAAACACTGACTCAATCCATCTCATTGAGGATCTTCCTCTCCTGCTCCATCTCTCTACTGTCCCAAACATGATGTCTCTCTCCAAGGACTGGTCCCTCCTTGCAACATGCCCACAGTATGTCAAATGAAGCTTCAGAATCCTTACCTCCAAGAAGCAGCCTGGTTTCACCCGAAACGTGTTTATTCTTCTAGCAGTCCATGGTATAATCAACACTCTTTTTCAAGCACCACAGCTAAAAGGCATCAATTCTCTTTCTATTGTCCCTCATCACTGTCCAGCTCTCTGATGCATAGCATGCAACTGTGAAGACTATAGCCTACACCACAATGAGATAAAGGTAAATAATCCAACAGAAAAATGGGCACAGGGTATGAACAGACACTTCACCGAAGAAGACATTCCGATGGCTAACAAGCACTTGAAGAAATGTTCAAAATCCCTACCTCTAAGGGAGATGCAAATTAAAACAACTATGAGATATCATCTCACTCCAGTCAGAATAGCAAAATTTAATGAACAGCAAGCAATAAATGCTGGTGAGGTTGTGGAGAAACTGGAACCCTTATTCACTGTTGATGGGAGTGTAAAATGGTGCAACCACTGTGGAAGGCTGTATGGTGATTTCTCAAAAAGTTGCAAGTAGAGATACCATCTGACCCAGCAATTCCACTACTGGGAATATAACCCCAAAGAAACCATATCTGCTACCCAAGCAGATATATGCACACCCATGTTTATTGTGGCTTTGTTCACAATAGCAAGGAGTTGGAAACAACCTAAATGCCCATCAACGAACAAATGGATAGAGAAGCTGTGGTATATTCACACAATGGAATACTATGCTGCATTGAAAAACAAGGAACTCATGCAATATTATTAAAAATGGGTGACTCTGGAGGACATAATGCTGAGTAAAGTATCTCAGTCACAAAAGGAAAATACTGCATGGTGCCACTGTTGTAAAACAGGACTAACCTTGGGGTTGGGGAGAGATTGAGAAAGATGGGTTCAATAACATATACTGCATTGAAACAGATGAGGGAGAAAACTGTTTAAAAGGGATATGTGATTTTTGTCATGACAGGAGTCTACATGGTGGAGTGAACCTGGGGGAGGGTTTGTAAAACAATGAAAGAATTTTTCTTTTACTTTACCAAGAGGGTAGTGTACTAGGGGGAAGGATTGGTAGGGGAGAAAAGTGCAACAATGAATGTATGGAAATGTGAAGTCTCTGTAAATTTTTACTGAAATTAACAATAAATTTTAATAAAATTTTTTTAAAAAGACTATAGCCTGGATCAGGAGCATCTTAGTCTCCAGCCTGAAGTCATTGCTCTTCAGTACTCTGGAGAGGTCCCTGACAGCTGACTTTCGCAATGCAGTTCATCTCTGCTGACCAAATAAAGACCAATAAGAAAGCACATGGTCAGAATACACCAGGTGTTCCACAGAAGAATGGGCAATCTCCTCTCTTGCGAGTTAATGTCACTGAAAACCTTCAGGAAGATCAGCTATGAGTTGGTTTTGACTTGATGGCACACAACAACTTGATCAAATTATATTTTCAGTTATCTCATATGTATGTGAATAAGGAAGACCAAAGAAAAATTAGATTATGGTGTAGGCAAGAATATTCACTACAAAAAAGTCTTCCTGAAAAACAAGCAAATTTATCTTGGAAGAGGTATAACTAGAAAGCACCTTAAATGCAAAGATGGCAAGACATCTTATGTACTTTGATTATGTTGTCAGAAAGGACCCTAGAAAAAATATCCTGCTTGATAAAATAGAAAGTCAGATAAAATAAGGAAGACATTCAGTGAAACGGGCATAGTGACAGCAACAATGGGTTGAACTCTAGCAAATAAAGTGTGAGAATGGTATATGACTAGGCAGTATTGTGTGTTATTATTTATGGGATTGCTTAGAATGAAAACCAACCAATGGCAAGCACCTAACAGCAAAATAACATGGCTTTCGTTGCCTTGAGCAGAAATCAACTCTTAAACTGTCGCCCTCTAGTGGGTTTCCAAAGTTGAAACTTTCAAACAAAGAGATTGCCCATCTACAGAGATGTAATTTTGCTATCAAGGAATTTGGTGGCACACTAATTCAAGCAGATAGCTGACTGGAAATTTAGCAATTTGCATCCACTAACTGATCCAAAAGAGAAAGATGTGGCAGTATGATTCTGTAACCTTGGGAGCTCTACACTGTGACTCTGTGACCCTCATAGGGTCAGTTCTCCTCATCCGCTAGTACCAAGGGTGTTGATTATGGAGCCAAGTAAGATAAAATCATTGACAAGTTCCATTGTTTTCTAGCTCTTTGTGGATTTAATGTTGACTTATCAAAGAATGTTAAACTAAATTTAAAATAAAATAAAATTTATTCTAGCTATGTTCGAGGTCTGTTTGAAGTTACATGTCATTTTGCCAGCAAGTAAGACTCACCACGTGATTGTGTCTGGATGTCATTTATTTAGGTTGTGTAAACATCCATATGTATTGGGATTTGATTAACTATGACTGTCATTAAAAAAATAAACCCAAACCAAGCATATCCTTCATTCTCTTTTATCAAATAAACCCTAAAATTTGAAAAACAAATTAAAAACTCACCAAAGATGTAGAAGATATAAGGCCATCCTATGGTCTGAGAGAGGAGACCACCAATAGCGAAGATGATGAAAGATCCCAGAAGTGCCCCTGACACAAGATGCAAGTATATTGTAGGTGAAATGAACAAGTTTGGGACTCTGCAATTCTAAGAAACTGAATCTTTTCACAAAGCATAGTGATTTAAAGTATGATTTTAATCAGGTTTATGATTAGCAGGTTTAAGTCTTGTTCCTTCATTCAATAACTCTGTAATCTTGAACAAGTTCTTGATTTCTTTCTGTCTGAATTTCCTTATAGTGAGATGAGAAAAATTACATACAGATTAGTCAGTAAATTGTTCTTTAACAAAATCAAATAATATGGGCAAATTACTTAAAGATTTGGTAAATTTGAAGCACTCAATCATGGTCAAGAGACACAACATTGAACAATGGTTTAAAGCTGTGGAAGCAGAGCACGCGGGATGCAAAGTTTTTGATGTACTATTGCAGAATGCTCTTGGACAGTGCAAATAAAGAGAAGATAAGGGTATCAGTTACCTGATGCAGCAATGCTGATGAGATGACTCCTTTCAAGTGGAGGAGCCCATTTGGTCCAAATTGAATACTGACCTGTTGTTACCATAACCTGGGGAGGAAGGGGTAGGGAAGGGAAGGGTTCATTCTCACATGCCTGCATACATTTTTGATCCTATATTCTACTTATTCTTGGAAGACATCTTAATACCTGGGCTATGCCTTGGACAACCCGAATGACAATGAGCAATGTCACTCCAGTATCAGCTGCCATTGGAACGAAAAGGTTCAGGATTGAGGAAATGAACAATCCAGCCCCAACCACACGCTTTGCTCCAAATACTCCAGCCAAATAGCCACTAGAAATTGGAGTAAAGAAAGAAGCATAGTTGGGGGAGCTGAGGATGATTCCCTGAATTTCAGGATTCCAGTCATATACGGGGGCCTAAAAGAGAAAGAAGGTCTCATCAGTCATTTGTCTTTGGTTAGAGTTGACTGTCTTTCTTGTAAAAACTTAAAGGGCAAAAATAATGGAGAGTTTCCTTCTAATCTCTCTCAAAATCCTCCAATCAACCAATTTTGTAAAAACAGCTTAATATGTGCCTGATTCACTCTGTTTACTATTGACACAATTAGCCAGCCAATTTAAGTATAAGAGCCTGTACAGAAAGGCTTTTTCTATACTATAAAGTAGGCAGTTTTATATGTAAGGTAATAAAGATGTGGGATAAAGAGGCAGAAAGTAGGCATCACTCTAAAAGCTGTAGAGATTTTTATCATGCAGAGATGAAATTATAAGATGTTTCAAAAACAGTAATAGATTCTCTTTTGATAAATGGTATGATACTCTGTTATTCTTGGCATATATGGAATGTTCCATAAATATTTTCTATCTAAATTAATCACAAATAGTGTTTTAAAAACCTAATTCACTCCTTTTGAGTCATAACTGACTTCCCACTGGGTTTCAACAACTGCAAATCACATGGGAAGAGATTGTCCATCTTTCTTGTACAGAGTCAGTGCTTTCCTTGAACCACCAGGGAAGTGTGGCCTTTAGGTTAGCACTATGGCACCCAATCTCCCTAATTATTTGACAGAAAGAAAGAATCCAGTCTTGCTACACTTACCTCTGCTTTAAATTCCTTTGAGGTTTCATTCTGGTAGTCCGGGAAGTCAGGGGAGGGCCTTTCTATGGAGTCATTGTGATGGCTGGAGGGGGCTGTGTGGTTCACCATAGCTGGGATGGCAATGCTCATCGTCATTTGCTGTGTGTAAATTGTAAAATTACAGAGCTGCAAAATGAGGGCCAGTCCATAACGGACAGAGCAGAATCCTAAAATGAAAGGGCACAGAAAGTCAATTATTTGAATGCTCTCCTCTCACCTTTCCTAAGCCCTGAAGTATAGAAAATTGCTATCTGGCTGTGAATCAGAAATACAGGGAAGATTTTTCTTGTGCTTGGAGGATTCCTGTGTTCTAGGAGGTGATGGTTGAGGTAGCATTCTCAGAAATTTGCTCAAGAGCACTTTATAAATGTGTGGAGCTGACTAGAACCATATTAAGGAATAATTCCCTATGCCAGGTCCTAGGATGATCTGGCAAAATTGAGAATTGAAATAAGCAGATTTAGAGAAAGAATTGGCAAGAAGTATCCACTGATTAATTGTATATGAATAGTGTAAAAAGTTATTAAAAATCACTTCCAGACTCCTTCTTTGGAAGCTGGGACAATTCAAAGTGCCATTTATAACTAAGGAACATGGTACACTAGGATGTTTAAGGGATGGGGAATGATGAAATGGAAAAGGTTGGTTATGGTTTGATTATAGAAGTATCCAAACCACATCTTGATATTATAATCTGTTGCTGTTGATTGCCATTGACTCGTAGCAACCCTATGAACAAAGGCCTGAAGCCTTTCTATAACTATCATCATTTATCAGTGTTCACAGGGTTTCCAGTGGCATGTTGTTTAGGAAGTGGATGATACTCCTGCATTGGTTAGTGTCTCACTACAGCTCTAGGACTTTCCTTGAGATTGAATCCAGACACAATAGTCTGAGAATAACTGGAAATACCTGATAGATTGTACGGTCATAGTCATCAAGCTATTGGGGACAGTTTCCTGACTACTATGATTGAACAAGCAACTAGGATATGGATTTTTATTGATTTCTTTTTCAGAAGTAGGCCCTGAAGCTTTTCTTCCTAGTCTATTTTAGTCTAGAAACTTAAAAAAAAAAACATGTCAAGCATCAAAGCAATGCACAGCCTTTACTGATAGATGGTGACTGAACATGAGGTGCATTGACAATCTCATGTGGATCTCTGTGGAAGCTGAGAATGTTACTACTGAAGCATCACTCCCCACTTAAAAACTGTAGACTCAGTGAATTCTTAATCAACTTGCTTTCATATCTTTTAGCCTAATCTTTGTTTTCTCCCTCTTTATTATCATTTGATTGACTGGCTTGCTAATGTGTTCTCCATGACTTTTTCCAGTCTCTTCTCCATGTCATTGGCATGGGTTTGGGAAGTGATACTTTTTCTCCTAGCTGCCACTAATTCTATATTACATAATTCTTGAATAACATTTTTTTCTTTTTTGTGTCCTTTCTTGTCTGTATTCCTCTCATAATTCTCTGCTGATTTTTTTATTTTGTTTAATACACTTTAACCTCTTTTTATTATTATTTATTCTTAAGGATTTTTAAAAATTAAAGATTAAAATATTCCTAAATATTCTCAAATAAAATAATAACAATAAGATAATAGTATGCACACATGAACCAACTTTCTAACTGAATTCAGATGCAACTCCTTTGTAGCTGAATGATTTATCCTCTCTTCACCTAAGCTGCATATTAACCAAAATAATTCTTTGTAGAATTCTTAACAAGAGGAATTTTATAAAAGGGAAATTGAGATGATACAGATTCCAGTATTATTCGGGGTCTTGCATGAGTTTACCTTTCCTGGAAGTTTTTACTTCAGCCAAGTGTAAATTGCCACCATTGGAATTTTCTTCCTCTGTGACACTGGCTTCTGCAGTAAACATTTTGGTTCTTTCTTCCCAGGACCTGGCATTTATCTAGTGGCATAAAATAATAAAAAAAGAAGCAAATATAGAGGGCAACAGAACCTAATGTCTCAATTATACTGTCTCATCTTCTTACAAATTAGGAGGAAATACTATTTGGTGGGGAAAGAGCTTATTATGGTACATCAGATCTGCTTAGTCATCCTGGTTCTATCAATAACCAATTATGTGACCTTAGCAAGGTCACAGTTATGCTGATATTTAATCTCTGTGCCTCTGAATTATTCCTGTTTCTGGTCTGATATATGTTAACTAGAATCATTATCAACAAGATGATAAACTTTCCAGCAACCTTATGTAAAAATTCATTTAGAAGCTTCCAGTGCAAGAAATTACCAAAACCCCTGTTAGTTATAAACACCTTTAGTTGCTCTGCCAATCCAACAGTGGGTGGCTAGAATCCATGCGCTGCTCCACACGAGAAAGATGGGCAATCTCCCCCAATGCAATTTACAGCCTCTGAAAACCCACTGAAGGGTTAGCTATGAGTTGGTTCTACTTCATCGACAATGACATTTAAAATGAAACATATTGAATAAAATATAGTACACTTGTTTTTAAATGAATGTCCAATATTATTAAGATATATTGACATGATGAAATTGAAAATTAGAAGCATGAGATTTGGTGGGACTAAAGATTAGAGAAACATCAATGTTAATAACGTACAGCCTTGGGATAAGTCCCTATAGAAATAGAAGATGAAACTCAGAGAATCAGAAAACTAAAAAAGAGTTAAAAGAATTATGCTGTTATGTTGTTGTTAGGTGCTGTCAAGTCATAGACGACTCATAGCGACCCTATGAAAGAAAGGCCTGAGCACTGTTCATAGAGTTTCCAGAGGCAAGCCATTTGGAAGGGGATGCCACTCCTGCTTCCAGGCTAGTTTTAATCAGGAAGCTCCAGCAAACACTGTTCACTGTAGGTAACCATTATCACATTTGGCACATCAATGTCACAGCAACCACAAGTTACCTCTGTACAGCCTAAACATGGCCACTTGCATGCGCAAATAATGGCAAGTTTTTTGGGGTCGAGTACTTTTTTTCGGGTTTGTGTTTGACGTGCAGGCCTGCTCTTCCCCCCAGGAGCGAGGCCATCGGGGAGGCTTGACCTAAGGTTTAAGGCAGGCGGTGGTAAAGCTCTGGAAGGGGGAGGAGAAGGAGGCCATGCTATTTCCGGGATGACTCCACCCAGAGTCTCTGTGGCTTCCTGCTTCCTGAGTATGGCATGGCGGTACTCATGCACAAGTTGTCACAAGTTTGTGGGGTCGTGGGCTTCCTTCTAGCTTGGGTTTGATGTGTGATAGATACTGTTCTTCCCCCCAGGAGTGAGGCCCTCGAGGTTTGGCCTAGGGTTTAAAACAGATGGTGGCTTAAAGCCCCCAAAGGGCCCTCGGGCCTGGTTCAAATTGTTTTTCTGTCAAACATTCTTCTAGGTAGTATGGCACTGATCTGTGCATTGCTGTACAAAGGTAACTCGTGGTAAAGGAATTATATAGAATATAAAAATCAATGAGAAAATGAAAAGGTTTAACACAGGTTAAACTGACCTTCAAAGAAAGAAAATAAAGGAGTAGAAGACAACTCTTAAGAAATAATACATGACAGTATCTACAGAGGGAATCAAAAACATGATCTTTCAGATTCAAGAATTTCAACGAGACTCAATTCAGGGAAAGTAACTATCAGAACAAACACAAATGCTGATGATATACAATCACAGGAAAATATGTTCCACCTCACTGTGATGGATACAGAAATATAAAGAAAATGAGTTTATAATTTCTTATCCATTAGATTCACAAACATTAAAATAATAATTAAGGTCAAGCTTAAAAAAATTTGGAGAAATAAGCTTGCTTGTGGGAGCTGAACTTTATCCTTGGAGAAGAACTGCTGTCTGAAAGTACTACCAAGGATAACTTGCAAACACACCTAAAATACTGTGTTGTCAGATACCCATGTAACAATATTTATAAACATAAAAAAATAAAAGTAAGAATGTGAACAGGTAAATAAAACAAGATGTGTATCTTTTTCCTGGAATATTATGCAACCACTAAAAATAATCTGTTTATAAAATAAATATTAAAATTTAAAAAAATAAAGGGCTTTACAGAGTGAGTTCTAAAGCAATAGTTACAAGAAATAAAAGATGTGAAATATGCAAATGATGCAGCATTGTATATTTCGTGCATATTTATGTATTTGTGAGTGCATAAAATGATGAAAAATATATTGAACTGTTAATAGTTCTCACTTAGAGTGGTCTCAGAAAGGCAGAAATGGCTAAGGACAATTTTATTCTATATTTTAAATATGTAAACTATTATAGTGCTTAAAAGATAAATTTAAAATTAAAAAAAATTAACTGTCACAAAAACTATGGTAGAAATGTGTGGAAAGTAAGAATCTTTGGTCTTGACTCACAAAAATTATTCATGTATATGTATATGTGTGTGTATGTGTGTATGTAATTAGATGCTAAAACAGATTTTATCTCACTCCAATGTTGCTAACCCCATAATATTTTTAAAACAAAACAAACAAATGTTATGCCATTACAAAGTGATAGGAATCAGAGAGAGAGGAGGGTGTTGACCAATCTCAGGGATATAAACTGAGAATGAGCCAAGAGAATTTCTTTAGAGTAAGTGGCCAATATGCCTTGTCACTTTCTCACTGCACTTCCATAAGAAGAAAGGAGGAGAGTATTGTCCTCTCACTTCAAGTAATTGAAAGAGATTGCCTACAATAAAGGGTCATTCAGAGATTTTCACTTAAATCCCTTGAATGAAGAATGTGTGTGCATGTGTGCATAGGGCACTACTAAGTCATATATGCCTCAAAACCTAAAGGAATGAGGCCATGACTGAGATTGCAAAACAAGAAAAGAGCCCGTGCTGCACTGAGACATTTATAATACTTGTCCCTATGGTGGGTATAATGATGCAGGGACTGTGAATCAAGAAAGAGGCATTCAAGAGACATCCTCTTTGTGATTCTATGAAATGCTTTCCAGTAGGACTCTAAGAAGAGACAAGTGAGTTGGGAAGAAATGTCGACTTCAAGATGCCCTACCTACGGGCATAGTCCTAAGCACCAAGTCAGAGAACATGAATCTCTTGCAATATGGAAGGTCTGATGGAGGTTCTCGGTCAAGTATGCACTAGAGATTTTTAAAATTTCTCTCTAAAAGGAGTTAGCATTGAGTATTAACCCAATTCAGACACAGCAATGCCAGAATACAAGGATTCCAGCCAGAAAGATACTTTCTATCCTGACTGCCTTCTCTTTCTAAGCTACCAGTCCTGGAAGAGTCAAAAGCCTCATCTCGCAAGAGGAGAGAGGAGAGCATTTGAGAGAGAAAGTGGGTGGGGAAAAGATTAGCCAAATAACTCCCATCTTCAAGGCACTTGGAGAAAGTGGAAAGTTTTAAGATAAAGTTGAAGGTTTTTTTAATATCTCTTTGAATTGTACCTATTAAGATGAATTTATTTAGAGACTGAAAATAATAGATTTCTTATGATGAAGTATTCCTTCTAAAAGTAAATACATACCCAATCCTTCAGTTATGCTACTTTTAGCTATAAGTTTGAATTGTGGTGTTGGAAAAGAATATTGAATAGACCCTCAGCCAGGTGGATTGACAAGATAACTGCTGCAATGAGCTCTTGTATGTCAAGAAGTGTGAGGACAGTGCAGGACAGTACTAGGTTCAGATCTTTTGTTCTTAGGGTCACCATAAGTCATACTTGACTCAAAAGCACCTAACAATAACAACAATATGGACTGCCAAAAGAACAAGCTACTATGTCTGGGAGATAATGAGCCAGATGCTCCTTTGAAGCAAAATGATGAGACTTTTTCTCATGTATTTTGGGCATGTTATCAGGAAGGGCCTGTCCCTGAAGAAAGACATCATTCTTGGGAGAGTGACCAAAACAGAGGAAGACCCTCAACTAGACAGACCGACACAGTGACTGCAATGATGAGTTAAGCACAGCAACAATTGTAAGGATTACACCCGACTGAATAGTGTTTCATTCTTTTTGTATATAGGGTTGCTATGAGTTGGAGCCAATCCAATGGCACCTAATAACGACAACAACATGAGTGGTAATTTTGCACGTTGTTGTGTACCATTGAGTCAGAACTCAGTCATAGCTGATTCTCCAAGAGGTTTTTAGAGGCAGAAAATTATATGAGAGGAGATTGTTCTTCTTTCTTCTGTAGTGCAGTTGACAAAATCAAACCAAGTACCTTTGTATTGGCAGCACAACTCCTTATAACTAAGCCATCAGGCTTCCCCTAACATTGCATAATCTATATTTAACTACTAACTTAGCAAGTGCCTAACTACCAGGCAAGCCATCTTATTTACATCAGTAAAAGGCATTATTTGGTAAGCCATGGGGACATTTAGTAAACATCTGAATTCAGAACAGACCTGAAAGCTGTATTAAAATCCAAGCCAATGCTCATTGGAGGAATAGTGTAGCTCTGGTAACAGCAAAGAAAATGGGAATGTAGAAGAATGGAATACTCTACAAGGAATAATAATTTGTGTTTTCTTTCCATGTTTGGAAGGCATGGATAGTATATGAGTCATAAGAATTGAAGGTAATTTTCAGGTAAAAATGTTTCCCAACTCTTTTACCTACACAAACACCTCTGATATACCAATGCCTAAGAATTCACATTTCATTGGTGATTTAGCCAATATTTGTTGAGTCAATGGAATTGTTTGCCACCAAAGTGCTTCCTTTTCTGTCTCTGGCAAAACAATATAGTTCTTAATCAAATGTCCTATTCCTGTAATATTTCTTGAAATGAAAACTCTGGCTAGCTTTCATGAATTGGTGGGATTTTGTTTGTTCAACTGGAAATATGGTTTAATTGTAGGTAATA